GGCTATATAAAGGGGTGAGATTTCTTTCTGTCTTTGTAATCTCTTTAGCAGATTACCGATGATGCACATTGCAGCCTAGTTTAATGCTTTTTTAATTTAATTTTATTTATTTATTTATTTTCGAGACAGAGTCTTGCTCTGTCGCCCAGGCTAGAGTGCAGTGGCACAATCTCAGCTCACTGCAACCCCCGCCTCCCAGACTCAAGTGATTCTCCTGCCTTAGCCTCCCAAGTAGCTGGGATTATAGGCATGCGTCACCACACCCAGCTAATTTTTGTATTCTTAGTAGAGACGGGGGTTTACCATGTTAGCCAAGCTGGTCTCGAACTCTTGACCTTGTGATCCACCTGCCTCGGACTTCCAAAGTGCTGGGATTACAGGTGTGATCCACCGCACCCCGCCCTAATGCTTTTTTAATAAGAAAATTATTTTCTTTCTTTCTACTCTATAGAGAGGAGTTTTGTAGACTGGCAGGAGATTTCATTTTTATTTCATTTTTAACATTATTCTCCAATAGAAAGGAGAACAGACTTGACAGTTGTTGCCCCAAATTAGGTAAAAGATTGAGATTGGAGATCCCCCTAGGCCCATAATTTCTACCTTTGGAACATAATGGAAGACATAGAACAACCCTCCCCTACACAGTCTCCTCAGTGGGACAGCCCAGTTACATCCACTGTCCTGAGCACATGGACCCCTTTCTCTCTCAATCTTACCCATGTGATTCACTGAGGGAGCAGCTCCAGCCCAGATCACAGAACCATGGGAAGAACTGAAAACCCCACCTTCCCGAGAGGGCCAAGGGCAGAGCATGGACATATTCGATGAGTACCAAGGAGACATGAGAAAAATGAAAACATTGCCAGGACTGTATTTTGGTATTCCAGAGTTTCTACCTCGCTGCTATCAAGAACATCACCCTCACCTCTGGTGCTTCTTGTTAGTAACTCTTCCTCCTTGACCTCACCCTGGTTCTATGGTTCTAAATCCCCACTTACCTTGGTTGAAGGCAGAGTGGAGCTTGAAGGAAACAAAAATATTTCACTCTCAGGAAAGGAAGATAAATCTTGGGGCCCCAAAATCACTAAGTTAAAGGAAAAAGTCAAGCTGGGAACTGCTCAGCACAAACTTGCCTCCCATTCTATTCAAAGTCACCCCTCTGCTCACTGAGATAATTGCATATTTGATTACCTCCTTTGCAGAGGCTAACCAGAAACTCAAAAGAATGCAACCATTTGTCTCTCATCTACCTATGCCCTGGAAGCCCCCTCCCCACTTCAAGTTGTCCCACCTTTCTGGACTGAACCACTGTTCATTATACATGGGTTGATTGATGTCTCATGTCTCCCTAAAGTGTATGATACCAAACTGTGCCCCGACCACATTGGACACATGTCCCCAGGACCTCCTGAGGGTGTGTCATGGCCATTTGTCCTCAACCTTGGCAAAATAAACTCTCTATAGTAACTGAGACCTCTTGTAGATTTTGGGGGTTCGTACTCTAAAAGAAAGTTTTTTGACAGATTTCAAGATGGCTATTCAGAAGGGCAGGAAATAAAAGAATCGCTAAAAACTGTCTTTTATGGGAGAGGCTTGTGCCTATAGAGAAACTCTGCTTGGATGCAGCCAGGCTTTCTCTGAGGCTTTCCCTTGGATTTAGGAAAGATTAACTGATGGTCTGACATCTTTAAAGGTCTGAAGGAAACATTTCCCATCTCTTAAGTGCTGCTATCTGTGAGGTTTCATTAACATAATGTGCAAGAAAATTAAATGTTGGGACTCCAAATTCATTCAGCCAAAAGGAAAAGTCAAGCTGGGAACTCGATAACACAAATCTGCCTTCCCCTTTTGGTTCCTAAAGAAGATGGCTACAAGATGAAAGGCTACCCACCTCCCCCATATTTTGTCCACAAGGAAATTCCTGGTGAGCTGCTGAAACTTCACCATGGCAATGCAAATCGATAGCTTATCTTTACAGTGCAGCCACCCCCAGACACAAATGCATTTCTGATTGCTCCCCTACCCCATTTTGTCTGTGCTATCTTATGTAAAATGCAGATTCCCCACAGTTTTCCCCTGCTCCCTGTTGTTTATGTGAAAACTGTGCGCTTCTCAGTATCCTGCCCTTTCCCCTTTAAATTTGGAGCCCTCAAAATAATCTTCAGAGAAAGGCATAGACCTGTCTCCTGGGTGCATCCTCAACTTTGGCAAATAAATCTCCTAAAATTACTGAGATCTGTCTCATCATTCTTTGATTGACAGTAACAAGACCACCTCTGCTAGCCAGGCCTCCTCTTCTCTCCCTCCCATAATCTGTGTTGCCACTACAATCTGTTTTGCCAAGATTTAAAACCCCCTTCCATTTTTTTCTATCAACTTAGATGGTTTACACGTTGCTCTGTGATTCTCCCCTACACATAGTCATAAGTTTGCGTGCCTTTTCTCTTTCTAATCTGCCTTTTGTTAGGTGAATTTTTAGTGAACTTTAGAAGGTTGAGAAAAATGTTTCCCTTGACCCCCACCAGCGTGATCGCTCTCCCACGGAAAGACCCAAATGAAGTGTCCCCTACATCTAACGCCATGGCGCCCCTTGAGTGAAGTCTTTCTATGTTTTAGGAAATGTCATAAATAAGTTTTTTTTAATTTTTATTTTTTTAACACCTTGTTGGACCATAAAGGATTGATCTACTGATAGACACCTGATTCTCAATCAGAGCTTTTCCCGAGGGAATTTGTCATGTGGAAAAAGCTCAAGAAATGGCCGGGCATTTTGGCTCATGCCTGTAATCCCAGCACTTTGGGAGGCCAAGGTGGGTGAATCACCTGAGGTTGGGAGTTCGAGACCAGCCTGATCAATATGGAGAAACCCTGTCTCCACTAAAAATACAAAATTAGCCAGGCGTGGTGGCACATGCCTGTAATCCCAGCTACTCGGGAGGCTGAGGCAGGAGAATCGCTTGAACCTGGGAAGCGCAGGTTGCGGTGAGCTGAGATCATGCCATTGCACTCCAGCCTGGGCAACAAGAGTGAAACTCCGTCTCAAAAAAAAAAAAAAAAAAGTCAAGGAATATGGGAGTCATAGGGGCTCTAGAGAGATGGAGGAGCCACAGGTTGCTGGGGCTAAGATATCCTGAGCTACACTGGTTTCTGAGCTATTCAAATCCCGGTTGTTTCACCCTTTTCTTTATTTTTGGAGTCACCCAGGATCCTTTCAACAACCACCTTACACTTGTATTAGAGCCTGTTTTTGTTGGTGCAAACACAAAAAACACACTCAAATAAGATGCTGTAACAATAGTTCTCAAACCACAGCAACAACTCTAGTAGCTATATCCTAGGAGGTTCAAACTCTGTGTTACCTGTTGCTGTGGTTTGATGTGTTCTCCAAAGCCCATGTGTTGGAAACTTCATCCTCAGGACAACAGTGTTAAGAGGTGGGACTTTTAAGTGATACTTAGGTCATGAGGGATTTTCCTTATGCATGAATTATTGCTATTTTCTCAGAGGCAAGTTAGTTATCGGGGATTGAAATCCTGATAAAAAGATGAGTTTGTTCTCTCTCTCTCTCTCTCTCTCTCATGACTCCAGAATTGTAAAAAAAAATCTCTTTTCTGTATAAATTACCCAGTCTCAGGTATTCCATTATATTAGCAGGAAATGGACTAAGACACTACTTTATAAAATGTTACAATTCCCAGTGTTCAGCTTTTCCTTGATCTGGCTTCATCTACATGTTTCTTTGCTTGTTACTGATGGAGAAATTTTCCTGTTGTCTCTCATTTCCGGCTTACACTATCACATGCTGTCTATTAATTCATGTCTCCTATTTCCTTCTGTTGCTTTTCTGTAAGCATCTCTTTTCATGTGTCTCATTTTTAGGCTCTCTAAGACATATCATAAAACTAAGCTGATTCCTCACTATCATGCACAAAGCTGTGTTCGGGGGAAGTTCTCCCTCCTGACCTGCTACACCATCACACAGCCAAAGGAGTGCTGCCTTTGCTTTATTTGCACATTCCTGTTTTAAACAGTCATGCCCAGAATTATGTGGCTACTTGGGGCACATAAGGAAAAATCTGGTTTTTGAAGTCATGCATAAAATTAAGATCTCTTTGTATTTGGTAGTCTCACATCCACTGTGCTCCCTGTTTCAGCACCTCACTGGGATTATTAAACTCATTAGATTCTTGACATGAACTTGAAATGTTCATAGAAATCTCTAGCCATTTCTCTGGTTAAACAAGATAATCTTTGTTTTTGCTAAAGAACATTCGTGGTTGTTTAATGATGAGGTTAATATTCCCCTCCTTTCCACCTTCACGTTGGAAAAACCACGTTGGACTGAGTTTTGAGGAGCAAAGAACTAATCACTTGGCCAAAGGGGCCCTGTATCCCCACAAGTCCTGGGTACTTTTCTCTCATAGAGAAAAGAAGGTGTGTATGGTTACCTGGAAATGTGATTTTACATATTCTTGGCATCCAGGGGAGAAAAATCAATAAGCAAAGAAGCTACAAACATCTCCCCAGAAATTAAAGGGTCATGCCAAGACTCTAAGTTTTCATTTCCTTCTGTTGCTTGTTAGAATGATGTTCTTGTGGGAAACCGGAGTTCTGCAATCCCCATTTCTTCTTGAATCCCTACCCTAGCTAAGTACTTTATTCTTAAGAGACTGGCACCAAATCACTTTGTCCTGTTATGGAAATGCAAGGTTTGTCTTTTGGATGGATTTCTGAAGACAATGGATAAAACATTAAAGTTCATTTAATTGCCTGTCTGTCTGGGCAAGCAGTTTGGTTTTTGCCAAACATTCCCCATAGTAAAATGGCAGTATGGTTTTGATTGCCATTAAAACTAACCAAACATTTAATCCTTTTCCCTTTAGAAAAAAAAGAAAAAAAAAAAAAAAAAAAAAGGTGCAGCTCACTGCCAGTGCTCATTTAGTTTTACATTAACATGTTCTTTGAGGCTGAAGCAAATCTGACCGATTTTCAATGTAAAAGTAACTATAAAAACTGTTCTCGGAGTTATTTCTAAACAGAACTAAGATCAGAATTGTTTGAACCATCAGAATCGTCTATTTTGAAAAATCGATTCATGAAATGAATCTTCAGGCAACAACTGTTCGAGAAGGATGTCAATATCACAGGTAAGAAAGCTACATTTTCTAAGATGTGACATTGTCAGTGATCTGAAAATATGATTACTGTATTTTGTAAATGGAAATACCACTACAAAAACAGAAAGCGATCAATGGAATGATGTCTTTTGTTTCCAAAGTCAACATATTAGAGTGATTCAAAAATAAGAAGAAGCCAGGTGCGGTGGCTCACGCCTTCAATCCCAAGACTTTGGGAGGCTGAGGCAGGTGGATAACTTGAGGTTGGGAGTTCGAGACCAGGCTGGCCAACCTCGTCTGGCCAGTGAGTGGTGGTGAAACCACGTCTCTAATGAAAATACAAAAATTAGCCAGGTATGGTGGCATGTGCCTATAGTCCCAGTTACTCAGGAGGCTGAGGCAGGTAGAATCACTTAAACCTGGGAGGTGGAGGTTGCAGTGAGCTGATATAGAACCACTGCACTCCAGCCTGGGCGACAGGCCAAAAATCTGTCTCAGATAATCATAATCATAATCATAATCATAATCATAAAAGCGAGATATTTCGTGACAAAGTTCTCTCAGGGTAAACTGCCGCCACAAGTGCCACTGGTGAGTATTCTTGGGGTAAATGGGAAAAGGGTTAAATGCAAGGCAGGTCATCAGCAAAGTACAGTACCTGTTTGTGAGCTGATTTTCTCTCCAGTCCAACATATTCCTCAATACGATTTTTAAATAGAATAGATATCTCACTGGGGGATAGGAAAGTAACTTAAATTTGTTCATACATAGAGGCAGGGCCGGGAGAGATTAAGAGCACATGTGGTTTAAATGCTGTTGTCTTTGCTTTGTGAATAGTGTGGAAGTTGAAAATATTTGCCATGGAAGCAAGTGACTATTTGCCTCAAGGTTAAATAAGGCAAGAAGAGCTTCAGGTCCCTGGTCTGCAGTGATGAGTAGAACAGACCCTTCTGCTGTCAGGTGCAGACATTTCTCCTCCACCTTCTTTAAGGTATTAATACTCACTAGACATTGTCCATCTAAAAGTGTCTTGAAAGTGTTAACTCCAGTTTCATTGTGAGTCTTGCTGACTCACGATGACTCGAGGACTTCGATGGCATGCTAGACCTTCCAGTCACCAGCCTGGATTATTGTACTTGTTCTGAGTTGCACAGGTGTTTTACTTTTGTGCCAGGTGGTTGGAAGGAGGCATATAAAATGGAGCCATTTGTTTTAAAATCGTTTCATTTATGGATGCTCTTGTCCAGTGTGTCTGAGGGTGGTACCTGCCTTCCCAGGAGGCAGGAGTGGGGCCCCCAGCTGAGGAGCTTATGCTGCACTCTTAGTTTTTAAGACTTGTTATACAGGGTGCAGTAAAACAACATGTGCCACCCAAAATGTACTTTTTTGGTATATTTTGATCTTGCTATTAAGAGGGGCTACAACTCAGAGAGGCTGCAGACACATAAATAGCCCTGAAAAGCTTTCTTCTCTGGCAGAGGTTTGCAAGTGCTGAGGAAATGTACCTTAGTGAAGTGAACAGAGGCTAAAAGCCTTTCTCTGAGGTCCCCCTTAATCTGCCTAATTGGATCAAGGAAAGATTAACTTCCAGGAAAAAATAGACTAAGATCCTCACACTTTAAAGGTCTGACTGAGAAACTTCTCCATAGGCCACTGTCTATCCTCCTGAGGGCAGCTTGGGGAGCCCCTGAGAGACTCACATCTGTGTGAGGACAGCCTTGGCTCGCCATGAGTACCTCTCCCTCTCCCCCATTACCTGAGACCCCACCTCCCTGAGAGACCCCAAGCCCCTATTCTCTCTGTAGCCTCAGGATGTGATGAAATCTTCAATCATCTGGTCCTGCTTGGAGTCTCATAATTGATGCTCCATGTACATGTATATAAATTTATATGCATTTTATGTTAATTATTCCATTGTCAGTGTGTCTTATGTAATCAAGTCATCAAAACTTCAGAAGAGCAAGGAAAGAAAATTCTCTTTGCACCTGCAGGGGTATCTGCATGGTATGCAAACCAGAAAAGTTAAAAGGAAATAATGAATCAGAGTCAGGGAATTAGCAAACATGACCTGGACAATGGCAATGAAGGAATCATGCATGGCCTCTGTATTGGTATTTACACAACTGAGGTCCATAAGTGCCAAGATCTTTGTCTTTTTTCTTCCCTTCCCTCTTACTGCATACATCTGGACATAGGCCAAGGTTTAGTAAAAGAATCTGTTTAAGATGTGGAAATGGGAAACTCTGTGTGGGAATGTCAATGAGTGTGTGTGAAAATGTTAACAATCGTGTTGAGAAAAAAAATCTTTCCTTGTGCTAGTATATTTACTTGCATAATTATCACCTTTAGTTTTGTAATTATAAGATTTCTCAGAGCCTGGCTGGGTACAGTGGGTAATGTCTGTAATCCCAGAACTTTGGAAGGCTAAGGCGAGTGGATTGTTTGAGGCCAGGAGTTCATGACCAGTCTGGCCAACGTGGTGAAACCCTATTTTTAATAAAAATACAAAAAGTAGCTGGGCATGGTGGCATGCACCTGTAGTCCCAGCTACTCATGAGGCTGAGGCAGAAGAATCGCTTGAACCCAGAAGGTGCAGGTTGCAGTGAGCCGAGATTGTACCACTGCACCACTCCAGCCTGAGTGACAGAGTGAGACTCCGTCTCAAACAAACAAAAAATATATTTCACAGAGCCTGCCATTGAATGTGTAGTGTTTAGGAAGCATGGAAGGATCTTAAGGAAGCCACCATCCGTGTCTCACTTTCTTCTTAGTATTAGATGAACTTTCTCGTTGACACCCGAGAGGAAGAGCCTCTGTATTGGTTCACCATGTTTGTGCTCATTGTGTAGGAACAAAGCAACACACCAAAATAGTGGGAGTTGCTGCTGACAAAGAGTTTAATAATCAAATGATGGCCAAAGGAGGAGGTAGGACGCAACCTCAAATGCACTGCTTCAAGGAGTTTTAGAATGGGGTTTTCAAGGGACTTTTGGCAGATAGAGGGCTGAGGAGTGAGGGGTTACTTAGTTAGGGTGTGGGGGATGAAAACATAAAGATATAGTACGTGCATCCTAGGATCGAATCAGTTCCTTAAAGTGGGTATTTACACAGGATGGCATCAGTGGATCTATTGGAATGCAGGATCTGGAAAATATGGAAAACTTGAAACTTCTTCACATTACAGAAGTTATCTATAGAAGTTAGGGCCTTGTAATACAGGCTATAAGCTGTAAGCAACTACCAGGAAGGGGGCTGTGGGCCAAGCTGGTGAATGTTTAACTACCCTTCTACTCAAAAGCTTAAGATTTTGCTAAAAACCTAGACATTCAGTTTTATTGATTTTATAAGGATGGTGTCACCTTCATTACACACATTTGTTCTGACAGACAGTTGGGCTGCAGTGGCCACTGACTTATGTGGCCAAAATGCTTGCATTGACCAAAAACTTTCTTTCACATGAATAAAAATATTCCTCCAAAATAAGCACTTGATTTTGAGAGTCTCTGTAAAACACTCATTGTATATAAGAAATATATTTTGTGGTTAACGACAATATAATTTTACTTTACTCAGGGAAGGCTATTTCTCTCAGTACATCGTTCAACTTTGGCACCAGCCAACATTCTCAGGACTCACATAAAGCCTACCAACTAAGCAAAATCCTGAATATTGTTCACTAATCCTGATTCTGCGTCCTTTCCAGGCGTGAATTCAAAGGCAGAATTACTCCCCATTTTCTCCCCTATCCTGTGTCTCTCCCCTGGGGCTTCTCTGTAAAAGCATCGCCGCCCAGCTTAGCGTCTGTCCTGGGCACTGGTAATAATGTGGTACCATTCATCCTCTCCTAGCATTTGATCACTCATCAGGAGCCCTCCGTTCTGTGCGGAAGAGGACAGAAGAAGAAATCAGTGAGTTCCTGATTTCTGGCTTCTTTCTGTCAGTATTTTTTCTAATATCTCCAAGTTACAAGAGAGAAGTAGAAGCTACATGGCATTCACCCTAAACCTACTTGCATGACGCATTCTGTTTGTCTTAGAAGGATGATTATACCTTATGATAAGGGGAAAAAACAATCTCCATTCTATCAATTCTCTGGACGATTCTGACTTAAATAGAGGGAGTTTTACTGTCTAGGTTGATCTTCTGCTCCTTGGTCCACTGCTCTTGAAACTTTACCGAGGTTGTTTATTAAATCTAGGGGTCTTTTTGAGGAACCTTTGGGGTTTTCTAGGTATACAATCCTGTCACCAGCAAACAAAAATAATCTGACTTCTTATTTTTACTACTTAAATGCCTCTTATTTATTTTCCTTACCTGAGTGCCATGAATAGTGCTTCCAATTTTGTGTTGAATGGGAGTGGTGGAGTGGACATCCTTGTCTTGTTCCAGTTCTTAGGGGAAAGGTTTTCAAGTTTTCTCCATGCAATATGACACTGGCTGTTAATTTGTCCTAGATGTCCCTTATTATTTTGAGTCACGTTCCCTTGATGTCTAGTTTACTGAGTGGTTTTATCATAAAGTTTTATGTTGCATTTTATCAAAACTCTGCATCTGTTGAGATGCTCATGGTTTTTTTTGTTTTTAATCATATTTATATGATGAATCATAGTAAATTCTGTTCAGTGATTTGTGTACATTTAATCATCCTTCATCCCTGGAATAAAATCCACACAGTCATGATGGATTATCTTTTTGATGTGCTATTGGATTTAGTTTGCTAGTATTTTGTTAAGAATATTTGTGACCATGTTTTCCAAGGGTATGTTCCTGTAGTTTTATTTTTCTGTTCTTTCCTTGCCGGATTTTGGTATCAGGATGATACTAGTTTAGTAGAACAATTAGGGAAGAATGCCTCTTCAATTTTTTAAAATAGATTCCATAAAGTTGGTACCAGCTCTTCTTTGCATGTTTGGCAGAATTGGGCTGTGAATCCCTCTGGTCCCATGCTATTTCTCACTAGAACATTTTTAATTACTGATTTGATTTAATTACTGAGTATTTTTCATTACTCATTATGGGTCTGCTCTGTATTTCTATTTCTTCCTGATTCAACGTTGGGAGGTTGTATGCTTCCAGAAATTCATCTATTTCCTCTGTATTTTCCAGTTTGTGCACGTAGAAATGTTTATAGGAGTCACTGATACTCTCTTGTATTTCCCTGATGTCAGTTTTAATGTCAACTTTATCATTTTTTCTTATTTATTTATTTATTTATTTATTTTTGAGACTTGCTCTGTTGCCCAGGCTGGAGTGCAGTGGGGCAATCTCAGCTCTCTGAAATCTTCACCTCCGAGGTTCAAGCGATTCTTGTGCCTCAGCCTTCTGAGTAGCTGGGATTACAGGCACACACCACCATGACTGGCTACTGTTTTTTGTATTTTTAGTAGAGATGGGGTTTCACCATGGTGGCCAGGCAAGTCTCAAACTCTTGACCTCAAGTGACCCTGCCTCAGCCTCCCAAAGTGCTGGGATTACAGGTGTAAGCCACTGTGCCCAGTCTCACCTTTGTTATTTCTGTATTGTATTTATTTGGACATCCTTTCTTTTTTTTCTTTGTTAGCTAGCTAACTATCAATTTTGTTTCTCCTTTCAAAGAACCAAATTTTTGTCTCATTGATCCTTTATACCTGTTTTTTTTTTTCTTGTCTCAATTTCATTTAGTTATGTTATGACCATTCTTATTTCTTTTCTTCTGCTAGCTTTGGGTTTGGTTTGCTCTTATTTTTCTAGTTCCTTAGAAGTGACTTTAGGTGGTGAGTTTGAGATCTTTCTATCTTTTCAGGGAAGCTTTAACACTATAAATTTATCTCGTAGCACTGCTTTCCCATATCCCAGAGATTTTGGCATCTTGTGTGTCTATTTTCATTCATTTCAAAAAATCTTTTGAATTCTGAATTTCATTCTTTACCCAAAAGTTGTTCAGGGACATACTGTTTAATTTTTCATGCACTTGTATAGCTTTGAGAGTTCCTCTTGATATTGATTTCTAGT